CAAAGGCGGCAGGCGCAAGGGGCACGGACGGTTGATCGGAGCTGCCAGGGCTGGCCATCCCGGTCCCCCTCCCAGGCCTGGCCATTCGTGCGGGACGCCGAGCCCCTTCCCCAAGGACTCTTCCAGAGTAGACTGTCGTTGCTCCTGCGGCCCCTTCTCTGGGCAAGCGAGGCGGCCCGCCTCTCCCTGCCTCAGCAGAGAGGGGGCAGCAAGGGCAGGCCAGGCCTCGCCTCGCCTCGTGGCCGGTCGCTTCTGGATCACTTCCTCTCATCCTGTTATCATGTTCCCATCAGATTCCAGGCCGCGCTGCTGCTCTGTTGGGGCGAACGGAAATGAATGTGAGGCACGCGCTAAAATAAATGGTCGTCTTTTTAGTGCCGGCCGCTGCAGTGTCGGTCAGTCCCGGTTCCCCTGCAGGTGGGGACGCAAAGAGCTGTCCGAACTCGTGTGAGGGGGAGAGAGAGAACCCTCCTCTTCGGCCAGGGGGCGAAGGCTGACCTGAGGGGTTCCAGCACGGCTCTGAGGGAGGCGGCACCCGGGTCCCGCCTCCCCTCCCACATCTCGGTGCAGGCGAGTTCGGACTAATCTCCATCCTGAGTCCAGCATCGGATGTCAACAGGAAAGAAATCCAGCTGGAGTATACTGGGGGGAACGGAGGACCGACCGTTGCTAAGGAAAAGCACGGAGTGATCCCAGGGCGCGCGCTGTCTCCTGCCCCGGCTGCGTCTTCCACCGTGTGTGCAGCTTCCCCCCAGACGTCCACGGCAGAAAAGGCACCCCTGCGCGGGAGATTTGGGCGGGTGTCTGGGCCCCGGGCCTGCCGTGTGCCGCATGTAAAGCGCGCGCGATTCCTTGTGCCACTGCAGAGCGTCGCAATTCAGCATCCTGCAGATGTCGGCTTTTGTTGGAGAGCGGGCCGGATCCAGAAGCGGCCGTGGGCAGCAGTCTGGCTGAGTGGGTGCCCCGCAGGACTGAAAAGGCTCTAAACCAGGCAGGCCCACCGGCTTTGCCCCAGATGTGGCTGCCGTGGAGCCATGAGCTCTCCCTCCTGCTTGCCCGCAGCTGGGGGAGCCGGCCTAAGCCCTGGCTGTGGGGAGCCTTGCCCCCCCCCCGCCCCAAGCACGGGGGCTCTCGCACAGTTGCCCAGGAGCCTTTGAGAGCACAGCAGGCTGCAGCTCTGCAGGGCGCCTCGTTTCGCTTCCCCAGCTGCGCAATCGGCATGGGTGTCCGGCACCGTGTGGGCCCAGCCGCTGGCGCCCGTAAAACACTCGGCATCCCCGGAGCAGAAATCCAAGCCCCGCTTCTCCGAGTCCCAGCATGTCTGTGTGGCCGTGTGGTACAGTCCAAACCCCGCTGCTCCGGTTATCACAATCCCAACCTGGTGAGTCACTGGCATCATTTCCCCTCTGTGGACATTTTTTTCCAGGGCAAGGAGAATGCGCCCCTCGCCACCGTCTCCTTTTCCTTCCCTACCTCATTCTTCTTAGAAAGAATGTAGGGGGGGCGGGGGAGATTTCCCGACAGGAACCGATTTCAGATCTTTCCCACACTCCCTCCTGTTTCTCTTCTCCCTCCCCCACAGAAAATGCATTTCCAGGCTGTCTGAGCCGGACATGCTGAGGTGGGGGGCAGGAGAGGGATAAACAGCTGGGGGGGCCGGGGGGAGAGCAAACACAGGAGTGTTTAGAACATAAACAGGACGTCAGCCTGGACAGAGGCCTGCATCCCCTCTGGGCGCTTCTTGCAAGGTTATGGCACAGTGATAACTCCCTTTCTTCACTTCCAAAAACAGGAAGGAGGGGCGGGCTTCTCTGCCCACTGTGAGGGCAGGTGATCCCGGAGCGGCTGGGCTGGGGGTGCCCCCCGCCACTGCCTGGGGTGCGTGACCTGCTGCCGGCAGCAAAGCGGAGCGTCTCCCACCGGAAACCTGCCCGGGGCGCGCCCCCCTCGCTGCAGTGGGCCGCTCTGCGCGCCCCTCGGCCCCCCTCCCGCCGGCGCTCGGATGCGCTCCCCCTGATTTCCTCGGGTGCCCTGCCAAGGTCACCCGCAGGTGCTGAGCCAAAAACTGGCACGGGGGGGCGGGGGGCGAGGCCCTGGCAAGCGACCCGGAGGGGGAAGGTCAGCGGGCCAAGGGGCCCCCGGAGCAGCGAGGGTGGAAAGGGCCCCCGCAAGGGACAGAGCTGCACCTGCCTTGGCCGCGGGGGTGGGGGCGGGGGGGGGCGCGAAGGCGGACAGAGCTGCTCCCGAGAGCGCCTCCCGCCCCTCCCTCGCCTCGAACGAATAAATGCATCTTGGAGCTGCCAAGGTCTTGTCTCATTGCTTCCTGTTTGGTGTGTATAATGAATCCGTTTCCTGGACCTTTTGACATTACCTCACCCCCGGCCTGCCCTGCCGCGTCCCCCTCCCCTCCCCTCCCCTCCCCTCCCGCAGCTTCCTGACGGAGGAGCTGGATTTCGGAGTGCGGAGAACCACCGGAGAGCGGAGCCGCGGTGGGCGTTGCCGCTGCAAGGCTGGCCGTGCTCCGAAGCGCTCTGGCGAAGGGAGCTGCACGGTGCCCCTCGGCGGGAGAGCTTGGGGCACTTGCCACCACGTGGGGTGAGGGCAGAGCCCCCGCTTCGGCTGCCAGGGTCCTGTGGCACCCCGGCACCTCCGGTTGCCAGAGACCCTGGGAAGGCCTCGGCTCGGGGACCTGGTGGACGACAGGTCCGGCAAGCATCTCGGAGCTCGCCGGCCCCGTGGCCGGAGCAGCTGCAAGGCAGCCTTAATCCCCCCTGCCACCAGCTGCCTGGACGCGCCGGACCCCCACTCCCGGGCAGGTGTGGCCCAGCGCTCCGAAGGGCACCCGGCTGGGCAAGGGCGACACAGAGAGCCTCTGGCAGAGCCCCGAAAGAAAGCACGTAATGCGGGGCTTGGCACCAGCTAGTGCAAAGAACCCAGCCGAGCGCATGGTCCAGAGCTGGAGGGCAGCGAACCGCCTTGCTGCCCCATCAGAGCCCCACGTGCTTGGGAGAGGCAAATCGTGCTTCGCCCAGGTGGGTCTCACCCGAGAGGCTGACCAGTTTGCGGCTCCCACTGCAAAGAGGGTACCCCTCGGACATCCTCTCGGGGCTTTGAGGGAAGCATCTTGCTTCGGGCTGGTTGGCTGCACACAAGAACAAGCCATGTAACTTCTCTTGGCTATATTGTATCCTGCATTTTTTAATTCTCACAAGGAACCCTAGGTAACAAACACCCCACCACCACCCCCGTGACAGCCCTGAGAGTCTGTGACTGGCCCCAGGTCATCCGGGCAGCTTCACGGTCAAGTGGGGGCGAGACCCCAGGTCTCCGAGGCTCACGGCAGCACCCAAGCCGCCACGACGCACGGGTCTCTGCTTGTGGAAGCTGGTGTTGCTGCACTTTTCACTAAGCGCTCCTTGGAGGAAGGGTGGGACATCGTACACCAGAAAGGTAAAGAAAAGCAAAATCGAAGATGAGGGTTTCCTTCTCAAAGACAGGCTGGACGTGCACATGGTGGGCATGTCGTGAGCGGAGCCGGCTGGAGCCGGGGGTCAGACTAGATGGCCCGGGAAGCCCCTTCCGACTCGCTCTGTTTCCATGTTTCTCGGGGTCTCAATGGCAGGAAGGCTGTGGGACAGTTATCAGCTGCAGCTGATGGGGGAGGTGTCCAACCTGGGTGGACGCTGCTTTTTATTGCTCAGAAAAAGCCCTTTTCCCCTTCCCTGATGTGCTCCGTTCACCATCTGCCCGCCCCCAAACGCTCAAGCTGCCGGGCGCAGACAAGCTGGAGACAGCAGTGCTGCCGTTTCCTTCCGCTCATGCTTCGAGCAAGACCCTGCACTTGTCTCCCTGCTTGGTGTCCCCCCCGCTTCCCCGGGCCCTGCGTCCCTCCTCCCCCTGTGGCGTCTTGGCATAGAAGGGTCATACTCAGATCTCGAGCACCTGTGGACCCCCGCCTGGTGGTATGGCAGAGGCGCCGAAGAGCCTTCAGCCGGAAGGCCGAACTGGTCCTGGAGCAGCGGCCAGGGGCCGAGTCCAGAGGCTGGCAGGGACACGGCAAAGGGGAGCCAGACAGCCTGTCCCCCAAATCGGCATATTTTAGCTCAGAGCTCTTGCTGCCAGCGGCCTGGGGAAAGCATTTCTCCCCCAAAAAGATGTCAGACGCAGCAAAAGCATCAAGCAACTAGCAGTCCAAGGGAGAGACTTCGTGTGATCCCTGAAGGCTGGCATCCCCCCGCCCCCCAGCAGGCTGGAGCTTCGGCATCCCTGGTTAAGGGAAAAGGGCATCTATTTGCTGAGCACTTTTATATATGCCCAGGAAACCCGTGTGGGGCTGCCTCTCTCGAGTTCCACATTCTCCATAAATACCCTGCCGTTCTTCCCTGATCCAGCTGCAGTGAGGTCGCCTGCAGCCCACGGGGGCTGCCTTCCCACGCCTCTTGAGTCGCGTTCTCCAACCTGACGCGTGTTCTACACATCTGAAGGGCCTCTGCCGTCATCCCTAGCCAGCTGCGGGGTGATGGGAGTGGTAGTCCCACTCGCTGAATCCGGCACGCTGCTCTCCATCCCTGGAGGAGCTTACCGGGCAGGGGCATCGCTGCTCTGGGCCTGCCAGCTGCGGGCTGGGGGAGAGAGGGACTCTGCGCAGGCACAGATGCTTCGCACCCCCCCCCCCCGGGATGTTTTCACAGTTGTGTGCCTTCTCCCCCTCCCCATTCTGTGCTTGCTAATTTCAGGGAAAACAGAAGGGGAGAGAGGGAGCTGTAAATTACCGGCGCTGACAGCAGCCCAGAGGGCCGTGCGTGTCAAAGAAGCTGCCACAGGAATAAATCAGTGCTTCAGACACGCCACCGTCGAAGTGCTGCTTTCTGGGCCGGGGGAGGAGCGGCGGGGAGCCTTCCCCAGAAAACGCAGGCAAGCCGGAGCATCCCTGCTCGCCCGTAAATCAACCCTGCTCCTTCCAGCAGCATTTTCTCAGGCGCAAACGACCGCGTTGGATCGCACGAGTGTTTTCTGGCCGACTCTGTGGCCAAAGCTCCCGTGCACGTCTCTTTCCCCATGTGTTGTTTTGTGCCTGCTGACTTGAGGCTGGAGATGAGGGGGAAGTATTCTTCATATGCGCAGAGGCACCTGTGGCTTGTCTTGCTACTTAAGGTTTCCTCCAGGGATGGAGGGACAGACATGAGCTAATGGCTGCACAGGCCTGCGCTTCACGGAGCGTGAGAACCAAGGAGAGGGGGGGCACCGTAAATTAACCACCAACAAAAGCATAAAGGCGTGTCTCTTGACGTCGTTTGAGCGCATTAATTATTTTTAATACAGCTTTCTTTAAAAGCACCTAACGGCTTGCCAGTCCTCCCCGACGGATCGTACCTAGCTAGTCTAATATTCATTTCTTGGGACCTTCTCTAAGGAAGGCCAGCCCTGGGTACCAGCAGTAGTGCCGGAAGAAACGGGGACTGGTTTCCTATTCAGTTGTGCCCAGGCAGTTTTCCTCTGGGCCGGAAGCACTGCAACAATGAGAGGGAATCATTCCAAGAGCGAGCTGGCACATCTCCCTGCGGAAGGCCCCTGCAGCATCACCCCTCCTCCTGGGGGGCCTCCCGGGAGCAGCTGCTGTCCCCTCCTGCTCTCTGTGGGCCCTTGGGCTAGGCGGCCTCCGTGGGGGCCCCTCCCTCAGCCACCCCCTTCTCCCCACCATGGCCGCCAGCTGCGACCTCTTTCTCCCAGGGCTCCCACTTGCTGGCCTGGCAGGGGGCAAAAAGGCCACGGCCCCCGCCGCCCCCCTCCCGGATCAGAGCAAGCATCCAGAAGACAAGCCGGCTGCCTGGGGGAAAGGAGGCACTGGTGAGTTGGCCTCCCCAGGGCCCCGGCCCTCAGCCCCAGCCCGGCCCTGCCTGCCCGGCCCTGCCCTGCCCTCGTGCAAAGTCGTGGGCACCGAGAAGGCCTCCAGGTGTGCTGACCACAGCCAGGTGCTCAGCCCAAGGCCCGGGGGGCGTCTGCAGCCCCCCGAAGCCTCCTGGCCCCCCGCTTTCCTTCCACTCATACCCCCCACATTCCCCGGGTGCAATAGCACACAATGCAGAAAGTTGTTTCTCCTCGCCCATGTGGGTGATGGGGGGGAGAGCCACGGGCAACCACGGCTGCTTCACACTGCCTTCCCCGACCTGGCGCCTTCCAGCCGCACTGGGCTTTTAACTCGCATCTTCTCTGGAGATCGTGGAAGCTGCATGTCTGACACACGGAAAGCTGTTTTGAAACACGGGCACGGTGGTGGCCGCTTGTCACTTGTTTACCGGTTTACACTTTTGCATGTGTGTGTTGCCAAAGAGGGCATCCCCTAACGACCACAGCTTTCCCTCCTTCCCTCTGCTCACCCCACCACCCCAAAGCCGCCTCCCTTTCAGGCGTCAATTGCCCTCTCTTGACTCCGCAGCGCCTGTGCCAATATTTTGACATCTCTGGTTCTTAATGCAGCCATAATGTTTGTTTACAGCTCAGTGTGGTAAAGGAAACGAGCCGCTGCCCGGGAGCTGAATGCTTTTGCTGAAAGGGGGTGTTGGCTGCCTTCCCGCGAGGCCTTTGATGGCTGCAAAGCAGAGTCACGGCTGTCGGTCTATGATCTGAGGAGCTCCGTCCTCCACCACGTGGGCCCTCCTGGATCAGCCAGGGATCTGCGCAGACCGGCATCCCGCCTTTGCTCGTCCACGCCAGGGGAAGCCCAGAAGCGGTGCTTTGCTGGCCGTGCCGCGCGTCTGTGGCCAGGGCCGGCGCTAGCAGTTGCTCAGCGATCATTCTCGAATATTTGAAGGAGGGGAAAGGGTCCCAGAGGCCCTGCAGAGCACAGAGGCAACCTCCTTGGCGGGCGGCTGTCCAGCCCCCACTTAACACCTCTGGCAAAGGGGGGTCCTTTGGCACAGCTTCCAGCAGAGGACTGTTCTGTGAAGGGGGACACCTCACCCTAGCTTTATAGCCACTGACCGGCCCCGTTAAGGAACCCGTGTGCGCGCGAAACCCTCAAGCGCGGGGAATGGATGATCACGTCGTTTTCTGCCAGGCGCTGATGGTCGGTCTTGTTTTCTCCTCTGCCCTGAGACTTCCACTCATCTGCTGAATCGGGTCCTTCCCCATGATTAATGTTGATGGCAAAAAGATCTCTTTCTCTCTGTGCCGTTTATACTCTCATCAACCACTCCGAGAGCCCCCATGCAAAGAAGCCTGGGGACAGTCCAATCTTTTCCTGCGCGGCTCCTCTCCCACCCCGTCCACTTTTTCCCGGAGCGGATCCTTGATCCTGGGACAGGCCGGGCCCCCCCTCGGAGCTGTCCTATCCCGTTCGGAGACGCCTGCAGGGGCCGCTCTTGGCTGCGGCCAGCCCGCATGGGCCTCTGCGCATCCCTCGGGCAGCTCGGATCGCCCTCCCGCCATGTGTCCAGGTGTGAGAGAGCGTGCCTGCGTTCCAGCGGCCCCCCAGGGCTGAGGGGGCACATTTCACACCCCGCAGGCACATGGCAGGAATGTGGGCGTCCCCGCTCCACACACCGGGTCACCTTCCCTGTCGCCTCCGGCACCTTTGTCTGGCAAACGTATCGGGGGCGGGTGTCGCGGGAGGGTGAGAAAGCGTCCCTGGGAAAGGCTTAACGGCCTGCCGTGGAAGCAGCAGTCGCTGGCCTTTGGGGGGCCGGCTTGTCTACAGCGGCGGCCGCCGAACTCACACGCGGCTTTGCCAGGGCTGTGTGTGTGTTCCCGACCGGCAAGCACACGGCCGGATTGAATGCAGGGTCTGGTGCACTGAAACCCATCCTCGTTTGGGGGTCGCTGTTTTTTACAAGTTTCTAGTCCTTCAGGTTTTGAGGGTTTGATCCGCATGGGCAGGCTTTGCCCCCTCCAGGTGGGTTGGACTGGGGGTAATTTGGGTTAAAGTCGAATACATCATGAGGGCAGCAGGTGTGGAGAAGAGCTGCTCCGAAGCACAGGGAAGAATGGCCCCTGTGCAAGTGCAGAGTGCATTTATCTGACAGCGCCCAAAAGGCAGTTTCTGGGAGCAGGTCCTGAGCCAGAGGGTTGTGTTTGCAGCCTTGTGCCCCCCAGGGCAGGTGGGGACAGATGTGGGGGGAGGCAAGCTGAGCATGACTCCAGGGGGTGGGGCTCCCTTGGCATGCCTGGTTCCCCAAAAGCCAACGCAGGAGGAAGCCGATTTTGCAGTATGGGAAGAATCTGGCATTCAAGGGACGCATTCCTGATGGGGCGCATGGACCCAAAGGGTGGCTGTCCTTCCGGCTCATTTAGCTTGGCGATGAATCGTCTCAGGGGAGCCAGCTGGCTGCACGTCCGTCCACCTTTCTGCCTCTGCGCACTGGATCGCCAGCCGGCACCTGCACCTCTCCCCCGCCGTTCTGCCCACAGCCTCATTACGGTAATACGGCAAGCCGCTGGTCGCCAGGCGTCCCGGCCAGGAGCTGCGGCCAGGCCTCCGGAGGGAGAGGCTGTGGCGGAGAGGAACCACGGCGAGCACCAAGTCACCCCCGAGCGATGCCCCTCGGGTGGGGCAACACAGGTTGTGCCCGGTGCGTCCCTGTCTGCTTAGAGCTGAGCCCGGTGGCTTTAATGGGGTTTCTTCCCAGGAGGGGCCGGTGCAGGGACTGCGGCCTCTGGACCACACCTGTGGGCCCTTGGCAAGCCGTGCTGCGTGTGGTGTCCAGATTCGGTCCCGGCCTGTGTCGCATCAAAACAGACGTACTTCGTCCAGGTCAAATGAAGCAATGGTTGGCGCTTGTCAGCTTCAGGGTTCCACTGGACCCTTCCTTGCAGAGACACGAAATATATCCCGGAGCCGGTGGGCTTGCGCACCATGGCGAGCTGATCCAGGGTAAGAAAAGCATCAAGAGGGGCGAAGGGAATCCGGGGGGATGAACACGCTGAAAGCCGCTAAGGGGGCAAAGCGAGGCGAGCTCAGGCGGAAAAACAGCTGGGCATGCTGGGAATTGTAGGCCTTTCACTCTCCGAGTCATCACTTTGTGATGGCCAGTTACCATTTTGCCATTAAAACCCCCCACCCACTTCGGATCGCCCACGCTGCCACCTTGCCCCCCCCCCCCCCCTTTCCAGCTCGCAACTAGATTCCTTTACCATCGAGTGCATGTGCCTGGGTTAGTTCTCCCACACAGGAGAGCCTTGGGGGGGAGGAAGGGGCGCAGCGAAGGGCCTGCGCCCACGGACGGACGGACGGACGGACGAGGCCAGCGACCCGGCCCCGCGGGACGCGCTCCTCCACCAACAAGGCAGGATCGCAGCCTCGCTCCAGCGCGCGGAGGGGCAGCGCCGCGGGCCTCGGAGGGGCAGGTGCCGCCATTTGCATACAGCTGGAGCAACCCCGCTGCTCCCGGGAGCCCCCTCTGCCCCCAGACCCTGGAAGAGGCGGCTGCAGGCCCGCAGCCCTGCCTGGCAGGCAGGCGGGCCCCCTTGCCTCTCACTCGGGAAGGAACTGGCGCGTAAGCGCTCGGGGAGACGCGGCACCGGCCCTTGCGGCAAGCAGAGGCCGGGAAAGGCAGCGAGGTGCGGAGGGGCTGACAGCGCCCTGGCCTGCGGGGGGGCGGGGGCGGGGGCGGGCCTTTTTCAAGGGACCTTCCGGAGAAGCCTGTGCAACAGCCTTCCCCAGCTCGGATCCCTGCAGGTGAGCGGGACCACAGCTCCCATCACGCCCAGCGAGTGGCTGTTGGGTCAGCGCCCGCCACCCCCGAGACCTGTATGTCAGGGGTCAGCCCCCCAAGCTTCGCTTCTTCCTTTTTCTGAAACTTAAAAAAACCCCGTAGTTTATGTCTCCGATTCGCTGCTCTTTATCAAGCGCTGGGAAGTGTAAATGCTTTCCACCTTCCCTTTTCCCGGCTCTGGGGGGTGGTGGTGGGGGGGTATTTTTCCCTGCCCTGTGACTTCGGGGCAGGGATGTCTGGGCAAGCGGAGA